ACCATTTATTTTAAAACAATGTAAATCATGACAAATTCTTGGATAATACATTCCTTTTTCTTGGGATAACTCAGGAGAACTCAGACTATAATTTGAATACTTATAATCTAATTTAATTATTGGGATCAAATTTATCTTATGTATTTATTAGCCCTTTCATAAAATATTTTCCTCCTTGAGGCAGGAAGGACATTAGACAAATAATTAAATATTCTAATTTTCTGTTACACAATTCTAGTTTTGATTATAGTAAAATATTTGGCATCTCTGTACCACAGAATGTCATTTTATGGGTTTCATTTTAATTGAATTAAAAATTTTTACAGCTTTGGTTAAAAAAATTGAGTATTCTTGATATTACTTACATATGATGATTTAATATTACCTTCTTTGAAGCTTTTTGTTAAATTGCTTATATGATTAAAAAAATACTTTTTTATGGGAAGCAATGAGGAAATCTCTCTGAACATGAGCATGTTCAGTATTTCTTGACAAATGGAAGAAGGCTTGGCTTCTGTGTTTCACAACTCCACAGGGAAACAGAAATCCATGGATACCAATGCCTATCAAGGTAATCAACCTTAAAAGTATGATACAGAGAAGAACTATGTGCTTTAGATAGAAAATCTGGATTCCTCTGAGATCCTTTAGCATATGTCACAAGTTAATTTTGCTTCCCATCTACACATAATTCCATACAGTTATAGTTTTACCTGCACTAAAATAATTTATACTGGATCAATATTTTTGAATCACCAGATTAACATTGAGTTCTACCAACTAAAGCCTCAATCTTCATATTTAGCAACAAAATGCCCAATTATTTTTCTCACTCTTTTAATAACCTACAGTTAGAATGATTTGATAGCATGAACATAAAAACAGGTTCAGGTAAGATAAAAGCACCATTAGGTAGGGTAAAAGCAGCATCATATTAACACATAAAATGTGTCAGGCAATAGCACAAATTGCCTAATATCCATGGTGGACTGAAAAAAGTATGTTCTTGTTCTTCTCTGACCATGGCTCATTAGTGTGAAGCATATAAATACTTATGCAAACCTCAATTTAAGTTTTTGATGCATGGTTTGTAGTTTATTTAAGACTGCTTATAGTTTAATACATTCCCCAGTCAAATTTACAGTAAGATTTTGATTATTTTCTAAAGGAACAAACTGATATGAATACAGGACCTAAAACTGGCATATTTCCCTCTGATTAGAAATTCTAAGAATAATTTAATTTTGGAATGCTTTTCCCCTGAGATGGCTAATCGGTCTTCTAATCTTAAGGTAAAATTTTGTTAACAGATTAGAAAAATGGAATGGCAAATGTCATTATATTATCTCATGGGAAAATCATGAGAGAAATGAATGACGTAGTACAATGGTCATAAAGTATTTTGCTCCCTTTTAGGAGAAAAGATGAATGAAAAGAAACTCAGTTGGGTTTCAAAGTATAGATATTTTAGCTCTTGATTATCTGGAGTTGAAATTTCACTGATATTTTTTCCCCACATACATTAGCGGATAATCCGTAGAATAAAGAGAATCTTTATTTACTTTCAAAATGGCATATAAACCAGGAAAATCATTAAGTGGGAATCAGGGTCAGGACAGAAGTATGCTGAGACCCTTATTGTAGTTTTCATTATTATTTTAGAAAAATTGCAAATGCCAAGGACAGTGGAGACCCCCATACTGATATGGAAGCACCAGAAAGACCTCCCAGAGTAGAAATGATTTTTTGATAATTCACTTCTCATTAGTCAGTTGTTCATCACATAAATAGTTCACTTTTGTAAGGCAGTCATTTCAAACTTTAGACTTTATTTACAAGGTTAATTTTCATATCTTTATTACTTAGAAAATAATTTATGTTTTTCTGTCATTTAAACAAAAAATAGACCTGGGTCTCATGCCTTCTGCACAGCTTTTACCTTCAAAGAAAGTTCTCTGGGAAAGTGACAGGGGCTATCAGGAAACTGCAAATCATGAGAGCCAGGGGACATACGGAAACTGCAATCCACATATGTAATATGAACAGACTCCAAGACACACAATCCCTTTTCTTTCATTGTAATGGGATTGCAGTGGTTAGGGTTTGTTCAAAATTCCTTCAAAATGCAGCAGACAGAATTAGGTATTTTTGTTTTAAGGGAGTAGATATTTTCTTAAACAGAATATGAGGAAATTCCTTCACTTTTCAGATGAAGACCAACAGAGATGTATCCCTGGATGGAGTTACTGTCTTCATCACCTACTGAGAGCAAAACCAGGTATCATATAAATGACAAAAAAAGTAGTTTTATAAATTAAAAAAAAAAGACTAAAGTGGTGTTTTCAGCAAGGAAACAAAGTTCTGAAGGTTGGCTTAGACAGGTACCTGGAAACACATCCTATTTGCATGCTGGAAATGACATCAAGGACACCCACAGTGTCCCTGGCCTTTTCCTTAACAGAGAGCAACAGCTGGTATCGAGGTCCCCAGGTCCAACTTTCTTACCATTGGTTTGATGTGTGTCTATACAAATATCCTTTTCCCTAAATGGGCTCTACATTCCCTCAGATGAAAGACCTGAGTTTATCTAATGGCACCTACAAATAGGTTCATATAAAAGTAGAGCAAATCACAGCAAATATGCCGGCACCCCCAGAAATACGCTCTGGAGTTGGAAGTGAACACGATTACCATTGCTGTCACCAACAAGGGGGATAATACCACCAGCAGAAAATATCTTTTCATGCTCTGAGGTATCCTTTGAGATGTCCTGGTGTGTAGGAATGTCTCACACCTGACAAGTCTCTATTTCTTGATTTCAATACATGTTTAGCTTTAATCTCTGGGTAATTTATTTTTGAAGAAAAATATCAATCAGGTTGGAAGGATGAACACCATTCTGGAAGGAAGAGGTTCTAACTGCTTTGGCCACAATTACTTCATGCACTTTGAAACAAAACAAGCAAACAATATTAAACAGTTTCCTAAGACCTCTCTTCTGGCAGTCAGGCCCTGGCTTGCAGCCATATAGCTTTGATGAAGCTGCCCATATACAGTTATGGACACATCACTGCTCCACTGACATTTCTACTTGTTTCACACCCAGATTTTTCGACACATACTTATTTTAGAGATGTATGGCATTGGGAAAAGAAAGAAATATTAGTTTTGTTAAGTAATTAGTAATAGGTATGAGAATATAAATGCTTTTTCTTTTCTCCCTCTTATTTGCAAGGGGAAGGGAGTGAATACATTCACTGGGGAAATGTATTTGACTAACAGTAATGTTTGCAAACATAGAGGCACAAAGACAATGCAAGAAAATGGAAAACAACTCTGCAAGTCCTAAACAATGAAGACCTGGTGCTAACTAAAAAAAAAACTCATTTTCACATTTCTGCATCCATTTAATCCTTTGCATACTTTCTTACTTACTGCGAAATTTGCCTTGAAACCATGTTTATTTTCGAATATGTTCTCATTGCCTTACCTGAAAAATGCCATGGATTATTGCAAATTCATTGCTTTGGAAGGGAAGAATATCCACTTGTGAGAAACAAAGGCATTTTTAATGTAACTCTTTTCAATGCCTTCAGAGGAAATAAAAAGTAGGAATCACAATCAAGGTTTACTTAGAAGTTAAGACAGTGTAGATGATGAGCAGGTCCATAAATATGTGAAAGGAAGAGTTTTAACCAAAAAGAGCTGGGAAGGTATGGATGCTGAATATAAAAATCTGGTATTTGTTAAGAGAGTCCTTCTCTTTGGGAATCATGGAACCAAAAGTTACCCAAAGGTTAGCCATACTTCCTAGTGAAAAATCATTCTTTGCAGCAACCTCATTTGATTGGCATAAAATAACTATATCTGATTATCATTTATATTAGAATAGGTAGATGAATGGCGGTCCATAGACTTCCATGCAAATGCCTTATCCCTCTTGCTGGGTTTAGAGATGGCTACAATGTATAAAAATGGTGATTAAAATATAACTTTATAAAAATGTTTCCCTTTTCTTTTAAAAAAAAAAAGAATTTCCTATCTACAGAAACAAATCTTTGTATTTACATCAAGATAACTATTCATGACAAATAGAATAATACAAAATAAAATATTGAAAGTGAGTATCAACTTTTTAAATAGAGGTTTGGCTCACAGCATAAACAAGTGTAGATAAACAAACCAAAAAAAAAAGAGGACTTTCAATAATAGGTCCAGTCCCCAAAAGTCCATCTAAAATCTTCCCTGCCCAAAGAAGCACAGCATTGGGCCAGAGTGCAGACAGAAGCTATCCCTGCACACGGCACGTGGAGCACCACAACACGGCTGCCAGGGGAACCCGGGCCTCCCCAAAGCCACTCTTCACCAGTTGTCAAAAATCAGGCTTTCCTTGCGTCAACGAACACCAAACCCCGTGTGGAAATGTTTCCCCTTCAACTCTCGCTATAGATCCCTCTGTGGGTTTCTGTTTGCCTTTCTTTGTTTTTTCCTTTTCTGCCACACATTTTGCAGCGATGAGAGAGCAGTTTCCCAGGTCTTCTCTGGCAACCTTTCTTTCAGAACGCTGACCTGATTACAAGCCCTGACTCCAGCTCCCTCCTCGGTGTTTCGGGATAAAGAATGCCGCCCCCTGCCATGGCGATTTGATCTCAGGTTAGTGACAGATGCACAAACAGCTTCTATACATTCATTAGGCAAGCAGACTGGGAAATGCGTGCCTTCCAGGTTTAAGGCTGGTGATAGAGAGCCCCCACGTGGTGCAGAGCAGTACTGCCAGAAGGTGGCCCTCTCACCCAGCCCTTCCACACCCTCTCGGTAGAGGGTCCTATACTGAGGCTAAATGGAGGCAGGCGTTTGGAACGGCTGCCTCTGAGACACACTCCAGAGTATTCCTTCTGTTTGTTCACATGTGCTGAGTCACTGCTGCAGCTATTCTATGAGCTACTAAAACCACAAAAATCTCTCTTTACATACACACAAACATACATACACACATACCCTTTCAATCCTCTCTCTCTCTCTCACACACACACACAACGTTGGCAGGATGTATAAGAATTCAAATAACGCTCTGGAATTTTCATCCTTCAGTATTAAGAGCAGAAGCTCCTTAGTTGATAACCTACATTCTCTGCACTGTTTCCCTGCTAAGCCACACCATTTCCTTTGTGATTTCTTTTCCTTTATTTTTTTCATTTACGACTTGTTGTATCACAGTGACCACTAAATATCTTAATATGAATGTTACTAAATTGTGGAGCCAGTAATCCTGGCTTTCAGTGTGTATATGTGTGTATGTGTGTGACTGTTTTACATGTTTCTATGTGAGAGCTTATACACACACACACGTATATTTTTTCCTTAAAAAAAAAAATCCTTAGAAGCTGGTGTTGCAAACGTGAAAGCTTCTTGGAGCAAGAGTTTTTAACAATGTACCTCACTGTAAAAATAAACAAATAAGATACGAAGAATCCCCAAAATGCAATAGCCATTTGCCGATCTTCTTGTATCTCTACAGTGTTGTGTCTAAGTGTTGTGCTGGCTTGAAAAGAGTCTGACAGGTCTATTCATCGTCACTGATTCGGCTCAGGAGCTGGGATCCCCTCTCCGCTCGGCTTCCCTTTCTCTTCCTCTTCTTCCCGGATGGCCTGGATCTGCTCTGGGGGATGCTGCTGGGGGGTCTGGTCTAGGGACTGATCTTCTACGCCTGCCAACCGCTGTTCCTCCTCAATGGCTTTCTTCCACATCTTGTGGTTCTGCAGGAGGTGCTGAGTTATTTGGCAGTAGACTTTCCTCCTTTTGAAAGTTTTCTTTCCTGAGAAAACACCAAATTAGACTACTTACTTGTGAGTACATGACAGTTGTTTCTTTTCACATTATTAACAGAAGTACCAACTGGATACCTATATCCGTCACTTGGTTTGTGTAGGGCAGTAACACTGTTTTCAAGAGTGGGGAAAAAGAAGGAGGTGGCACAAGCACTCGTATATCACGGAGACATAACTTTAGACATATTTAATATTTAGTCATGTCTAATACAAGGTAATGCTTGTATCTTGGTATGATTCTCATTACATTCGTATCTTCAAGACTTTTGACCTAGATTGTTGGTATAATTTTGTTATGTCTTCCATTACTCTGTCAACCAATTCAATTCACAAATTTATAAGATTGATTTCTTTAAAGATGGTTTTGATGTTTTTGTCCAATTTCGTGTGGACTAAAGCATTAATTGCAAACTGCTCTCCAAGTTTTCCCACAAGGTGGCACAACCTCACTTTTACTGTCTTCCTCCTCCTGCAACCTGGCTTCTATCTCTACCTCCCTGCTCTCTTTTCTGTATATACAGTGAATTCTTCTACTTTCGAGCTGGTATTGCCCAACTGAGATACTCTTCTCAGTCACTGAAAACTCTCGTCCATTTATAATTTCAAGACCCATTCATATTTCACTGAATTCCTCTTCTAAGAAATAATCTCTTCTGAATTCTCATTGCACTCCATATATACTTCTCCACGTAGATAACTGTCTCCAGGTTTTTTCTTTCTCATTTTGATTCTCTTTTTCTGGTAACTGTATAACCAAAATCACTTAGGGGGAACTCTCATCCCTCCTTTCCATTCTGTATTTCTAGAAAAGTCTGTCAAACTCTACTTCCTCACTCACCCCCGTGACAACACAGCGGAGTCACAGTCATTGGTCAATGGGTAGGTGAGTGACCCAAGTCAGGCCATTCAGAGTCCTTCCTGGGATTTTTCCCAGTGCCACGTAATGAGTATGGGGTCAGGGAGTGGGTCTTGGGATCTTTTCTCCTCTGCTTGTGTATCTGGAATGAAGCAAATGTAGGGCCATAATTTCTGTCTCGTGAAGAAAGCAAGGTTGAATGAATAAGGTGTCAGGTGAGTCAGAGACAGTTGCATGGGCAAGCACGGATACCAGCCACCATTATGTTTACACAAACCAATATTATTCACTTTGCATATACTCCTTGATTGGAATTTTGTCACTTATAACAAAAACAAGAAAAAATGTCCTAAATAATGTGCAAAAGGCATTTATTTTGTTCTCATATATTCTAGGCATTGGCTCCTCTGCTAGATTATAACTTCTTCGATGGAGCCTTGTACAGACCTGTAGAGACCTTATACATGACAAGGCTCAGCAGATACACATTTAGTAAATAAATAAATTGCATTTTCTTATCACCGATTTCATGTTTCCAAATATGGAAGTACTAAAGACAATTTTCAAGGAATTGCATCTCTTGATTGAGGAAGTATAATAAAATCAATTTCAACAGAAGAAACATAAGGTGTTTTAAAGAACTTGATGTCATAATTCACTATTTAAGCTTCCAAGTTGTTATCTATTTATTCAAAAGCTAATAATGTGCCAAATATTATGGCTCTGGTGATTCATCAATGGACAAGAGAGATATAATGCTTGCCAGTCTGGAGCATTTTTTCTAGTGGAAAGATAGTGAACAAGTGGGCACAATTATACCGAGTCTAACAAAGTCTTTGAAAGGTGGCAGAAAGAGAAACAACTCAACTGTGTGGATGCTGCATAACGATTGTGCTTGGATTAGGACGGAGTCAGGGAAATGAAGGTAAGAAGATCAATGTGATATGTAATTGTGAGGTTTAATACCAGGATTTTGGCAACGATTGGATGTAAGGAATAAGGACTATGAAGGAATCAAAGAAAACCCTGAGCTACCTGTCCTAAGCCGTTGAGTAGATGACGTAAGATGGTGGTACGGCAACATTAGATCAGGAGCAGATGTGAGAGAAATGTTAAGTGTGAAGTGTGTCTTGGAGACCTCTAAGTAAGACAGGTAAAGTGGAAAGCTTGTCTTGGCTTAGAAGAGAGGACTGTTCTTTTTTAAGCAAAAAGAATACAACTCAGTAACTTCATCTGAGTGCCCATTCCAGACTTAGACCAAGAATTTAGAAATAAAGCTAAGACCTTCCATCAGACTATCAACTTCCCTATCAACAGAGGTTTCCTACCCCTTTTGTGTGTACATCCACATAGCCACACATTTCAGTAAATATTCAGTAAGACTTTACTAAATGAACCATGCCCAGGTTCTGTTCCATGATTCCAAGTAAATGGTGAAGTGCTGATAAGTGATAAAAATGATACTGATATGAAAATACGGTCCACAGGAGATTCTGATCTGAGACTACATTAAAGAGTTAACAGTACAAGTTACAGGATATCAGCGTAGATATTTGGATTTACTTAATGAAGTGGTAATGATTTACATGCTATGATCTGGAAGAAAAAAAAGAAAAAAATGTTAATAGCAAAAAAAAAAAACAGAGAGAAAGATAGAAGAAAAAAAAAAGACAATTGCTTTGAAGTTTGCCAAAGGAACTAGATCTCTTGGAGACCATCCACCAAAATTTTTGTGGATATGTTAGTGATTCTTTCAACGCTTTATTACAATATACCACAGAAATTTCTTGTACTTTATAGGATGTCATAGACTGATTTTTAAAACATAATTTAGAAAAAGGACACCAAGTTGCCCTGAATTACTTTTGAACCATATAGACACATACAATTATTAAAATGAATGAATGTCAGTGGAATGGATATTCATGAGATGGACCTATCAATCAGACATACTACTAACAAGCAGTTTTCTGAATGCTATGGAAACAAAGACAAATTAGTCTTAAAGTCTGTCTTAAAGGAGTTTACAGCCTGTAAGAGAGAGAGTTAAGAAGACAAAAAGTGAAATACACATGCTATGCTTATAACAGACATACACATGTGACCAAGTTGGCCTTAATATTCCCCCCAGCTTGACTAAACGTTAGACAGATTTCTTCCAGACTGTAGGTCTCTCCGGCTTTCCTTTTCTTAGAGCATTTACTTTATAAAACTTGAAATTACAAATATTTTCTCTCTCCCTTTTTTATGTAAATAAATCTCCCAATGTCTACCCAGTTTTACAACCCAGAAATATCTTTCTCAAGGGCCTGGGAGCCATCCCTTTGAAATGAAATCATCGGGAAAAATAGGGTCCTTACTAACTTCCAGTCTGTGTGGGAAAGTAGGAACCTAACTTCAATAAGTACCAATTAGCAAACACAGAGGGCCTAATCATCACTGACCAACTCCCCTTGAAGGCCCACCAGTACTTTTTCACTAGCTCTTCCTAGTACTTAAAAATTCTCCTGCCTTTTTTTCAGCGGAGCTGAGTTCATTTTCTCTCCCCTACTGCAAAAGTCTTAAACAAAGTCTTCCTTGCCATTTTTAACAAGTATGCAATGCAATTTCTCTGACATCAAACATGGTGCCATAAGAGACTCAATCTGTGAATGAATGAATAGGTAAGATTTATTCAAAGGACATGACACCTGAGATGAGATGTAAACTATGAGAATTAAATACACTGGGTGAAGAAGGGGCTGGCAGCATCCCAGGCAGAGTAAGGGGCATGCACACAGGCAGAGGGCAGGGGGCCCTAAAGTATGACATCAATTTCCTCATCTGAAAGCTTAACAAGGACTATAAATATATAAACTGAAATTTAAAGAAATCTCTATTCTTTCTATAAAAATAAGTAAAATGTATTATTACTATATCAGATTTTTAACAGCAGATCTTTAAAATTACTCTTCTACCAAAGCCATCTGCTTGTTTATTTCTACTTTGTTTTTATTGTCAGTACAAATCAGCTTCCATTGAGAAAATTTTAAAAGTTTATATTGTTTTTAACCTAATCCTTGGAATCCAGAGAGTGAGAGATGACCACTGGCCAAGGGACAGCCTTGAATCATGGTTATAGGAAACACTGTGCTGCTCAGGGTGATTATTCCATCTGAAAGTTATACACATTCATGGCAATGCATTTTTAGGGTAGAATTTAACAAAAGCTCAATTTTTCTCCTTTTACTTTAAGGGCAGCCCCAGTGAGAGCAGCTGTTCTCTTACTAATGCCGTTAAACATTAGCAATAAACCTCTCTGGAATTAAACTGAATAAGGTGACGTAGAAGAAAGCTTGTACCAAATAAATTTGCGTAGATTAGAGTCTGCAGGTGGTCTAAAACATGCCTGTATTGGGAGCCAAAGTGTTCAGCACTGGAACCTTTTGAAATGAGAACAAAGAGCCTTTCATTGCTCCAATTCTAAATGCAGCTTAGTACTTCATTAGAAACCTCTTAGTTCGCTGTAGGAATTTTTCAGATTTAATTACGAGGTGGGGAAAAAGCCTTCTTCCCCAGGATACCATATTGAAACATTTGAAACATTTTATTCTGTGCTTCCTGGGAGATCTCCAAGTTTCACAAATGGCTGAGATTATCAGTGCATATAATTTTTCGGAAACCTAAGTGTCAGGCTAGATGGAGTTAACCATCTTGGTCAATATTTATTCTGAAATTAAAGTCACTAAGAGTCAATAGCAATGGAGTTAAAAATGAGGAGCCCTGGGTTTCCTTGCCGGTTTGCAGAAACCATCTACGCCTCGGGATGTTTCTTAAGCTTCTGAGCCTCAGTTTAGTCTTTCATAAAACGAGGCATCTAAACTGGATGATCAATTTCTCTTCCATTTCTAAAAGTCCATTATTTCATGGAGCCAACTTCCACTAGATAATATTGCCTGACATTTATCATTTTTTGGCTATCACAGACTACTTCAAAGATAATTTTTCCAAAGCCACATATCACATCATTATTGATGGATGTTTTCAATTTTAATGGAAGGTGGCCAGTTGACTTTTAGAAGCTGTAGGCAAACAGGTCCAAAGAATCCTCATTCCTGCCTTAGTGAACATGACAAACATGGGAAGGTCGGGACAGTGACACATCAGAATCTTGAAGTCAGTGTGACAACAGAAATCTAAAGAACAGAAGGAAATTTGAATATTTGGTTGTTGCTAACGCCAACCTTGAAGTGGAGCCTGTTTACTCTCTAGGCCTGGGTGCTTCAATTCTTGATGCCTGTATTATGTATGTGTTTTTGTTTTTCTTTTGTTTTTCATATTTTTGAGTTTAAATAGCAATCAGGGCTCATGCAAACAAAGCTTTTCCAGATGCTGAGCTGACAACACTTTCTGATATTATTCAGTGAAAAAAAAAGAACTGTCCCATCCTTGGACAGATAGCCAACTACCTGGCTCTTTGAAATGAAAACAAGTTAAAAAAAGAAAACTATTATATGTTTATTAAGTGAAGAAATGAATAAATAAGTCACATATCCCCATTCTTGGCTTCCACCTCAGAATCCTTGGATCAGCCCCAAATTTATAACAGAAACCTTTTTTACAGGCATCAAATAAATAAAATATAATTGCTTTGATAATAGAATATTGAAGGGAAACAGCTTTTGATTTTCTTCCCCCATTCAGTACCCAAGTTAATATATAGGATAGAACTTAAGCAAAAATCTGACCTAACAGCAAATTTGCAAAAACCCATCTCCATCAGTCTATAGTTCATAATGGCCTCTTTATCTGTGCTCATGGGAGCTTACAGCAGTGTACTTATATGAGAGCACAATGGGTTAATACCCGTTAGAATATCTTTCTTTACTAGATGGCCAAAATGATTTGGCCAAGTCACACATTTTCCTGACTGTGCTAAAAAAATAGGAACAAATGATCAGAATATTTCATTGGCAATATTTTTGTTAAAGGTTTTGAAAAATATTAATTTTGAGGTTGTCCTTTCTTTATGAAGGTAGGTAGAAACCACATACTATGTTCTCATGAACACTGTTGTGTTTGTACAGTGTCACTGTAAGATTATGAGTTTTACTAATCACACTATTAGGGCCTCCTCCCCAAGGCAGGAAAAATAGAGAATATTTCAAGACATGAAGAAAAATAATGTTTTCATATTGGATTGGATTGGCTACACGATGTACCCCAAATCAATGACTGGATGTGACCACTTGTCATTGTCACTATGGCCACCATCCTGCCTTGATGATAAGCATAGTCATTTCTTGCTTGCTTAATTTCAACAGCCTAATCTTAACTCACTGCCCTTCTTATTACCCTTTCTCCTACCCCAAACTCAAGAATATTCTCAATACAGCAGCTGAAGCAATTCAGTTAAAATATAAGTTGAATCACTAACTCTTCTGCTTAAAACCTCTGATGGCCTCCCATCTGACTCAGAGTAAAAGCCACATTCCACACTGTGACCTACAGAACCCTGCCTTTAATCTCTATACCACCTGCCCCCCCACCTCTTTCTTGTACCAGCCACCCCCTTTCCTCTGCTTCTGCCACCCCAGCTCCTGATGCCCCTTAAACACCTAGCTAATGCCCACCTTGGGACATTTACCCCGATTGCTTTCCTTTCCCTTTGGAACAGTTTTCCCACATCTATTTCCTGGATCACTCCCTGACTTCTTTCAATCTCTCTCTTTTTAAATCTCTTTCTTATTTAGGCCTCTTTATTTTACCTACAGTTGCAACCCTTCTCTGCACTACTTCATATCCCCCTTCTTTTTTTTAAATCCAGTATTTATCAGTACCTCACATACTACAGATTTACTGCTCTGTCTTGATAAGTGTCTGCTGACCCCAGTGCAAAATAAATCTTAAAGGGCAGGGTTTATTTTTGTCTCATTTTTTTTCAGGACTCTATTTTCAGTATCTGGAAGAATGCCTGGCACAGTGTAGATGATTAATAAATTTCTGTGGAATGAATGAGTGACAGCTCCTTCTGACTGCTTCACATGGTCTTTCCCCAACCAAGCTCATAAGTCTGAGGTTGTTCTCCTTGGTACGTGAATCACTAAGATACGTTAAAGACTAGGCTTCAACTATTCAACTTCTTTTTCTTTTATGACGGAGAACATATCTTTGTATGAATAAGGTATCACAACAGATGCTGTAGTCTGTAATTCCCATGATGATGATTTGGGGAAGGAAGGGCTATCCATAATTCAATGCAGCAGATGACATTGGGAGTCAAATGAGGTAATTTGTGGGAAGCATAAAATTCATCTAAACCTGAGTAAGAGAACAATCTTCTGAAAACACGTTAGAAATACATTTTATAGCTTACTTGGAGATTCATCACTTTCACAGATTTCCTCTTCATTTGGGGCTTCCTCCTCTTCCTCTTCTGGGTCATCCGTATCTCCTGACTCATCACTGTCTTCCACCCATTTCCCTGGCATCAGTCCTGCTGAGTCATAGGAGCTGCACAGAGGACCCACAATATGAGAGATAAAGGATTCCTGAAGATTGGCCAACTGAGGAGCGGAACGGTCCATGAAAGGGCTTATTGGTAATCCAAGGCTGGCCTCTTCGTCACCCTAGAAAGAGCAATTTAGCAGGAATAGCCAATTAGAAAGGTAAATGAAAAGGAAAGCTTAAAATACAAGGAAAGTCAACGTTTGCTTGGCATCTAAAATTTGCAACTATTTAAGAGCCCAGAATCCCTGTGTGAACTCCTTCATTATGGGACTGCTAAGAGATTCTACCCAAATTACCAAGATTCCTGTAGAAACGCTTTGCTGTCATTTACCACTTTTGTGATCCTGAGGTTTTGGCCTTTGGTCAAATACAAGAAATGGCCTAATGCCTCAGTAGATAACATTTGTCATCACACTAGTTGGTGTTCCTTATATTAGAATATAAATGCACCTTGAAACACAATGCTGGGAATGATTACTAAACAAACACACAATTTAGTGTGTTAGCCTTTTTTTGCCTTGGCTGCCAGAAAGCTTAAAATACTTTATTGCACAATGCAAGTTGCTACCTTAACCCAGCTTTTAGTTTAATTATATCTTCTGTGATTATATGGGTTTTGATATTCTTATTTATCTGTTTAATAGCACTACTGTGTACATGTTTTACCTTGAACTGCTTTAAATCTTCCTGAAAAAAAAAATAACACATTGTAAACCTGTTATCACCTCTACCCAAGGATCAGTAACAGTTCTGACAATGTAGTAGAAGAGGCGTTACATGGATTTTCCTTTGTCTGTTTTTTTTCTGTATTTCAATATTTCTTATGAATTAATCTCATTCCTAGGAATGACATACATTATTTTTCCTGGAAGGCACAAATCTTTTTTTCTACATGTGAGTCCTGACTAAAATGCCCACAAAAGTTCTTTCTAATCTCTGTTTAACTATGTCCAGTGACAGGCAATTTATTACTTAATAAGGTACCTCACCTATTTCTGGATGCATTTATACTACACATTTCTTTCTGACACTGAATTTCCTTCTGAAATCAATCTCCCCATAACCTCTATAGACTGGTTAGCCATACACCCTTTTTAGGAAAGCAGAAAGGAATCTAATGTTTCTTATAAATCAGATCGTTTGTTAAGTGGTTTGATAATTTACCTTCTTTAATCTCTGCAATTAAAGATTATGATAAACTTAATCCTAAATATGTATATCAGTCTTTTGTGGATCTGAAGACAGTTATTCTATCACCTCTATTCTCGCCCTACCCCAGATACATATCTTCACTTCTTTCATGTTCATTTATGTCACTGATCCCTAAACCAGATTCCTGTTAAGAGAATGTTTCACAATACTAACCACTAAATTTCAGGTATAATCTGATTAGTTAGGGTAATGGGAAGATCCCCTCATGCTTATGTTTTCATGGTAGATTTTTTGAGAGTGTGTTGACTATCTATCACATTATTATGTCAAATGTCTTTTTTAAGCTTTTCCATATAGTGTTCTTATCAACTCAGAAAAGTAAATGAACTTAATCTGGTATATAATTCATCCATATAAATTTAAACTAGTTTCTAGTGTAGTAAATTTATAAAAGAACAGTATTTCAGTGGTTTCCCCTCACGTCTCACAAGGTTATTCCATTATCTTAGTATCTTACTTCCCCCCAAATATCTGCAAACAACTTTATGTCAAAGTTTTTACAGTTACAGTTTAGCCTAATTTTTTGTCATTTTTTATCCTCTGATTAAAACTGACTAGTGCATTTTCTGATGTTAGAGTGAATATGAAATAGATTGATCATACTTTTACAACTTTTGGAAGCTCTGGTGAGTTTATGAGCAAGCCTAAGTGCAGACCAAGATAAACAGCTACGTTAGTTACCTGTTCATAAAATTCATTGACAATACCCTCTGTCCACTGAAGATGGAGCTCTTTACTTTTAGCTGGCCCATTGATATCAGCCAACTTTATACACATTTGACAAACCAGTAGACGATCATTTTCATTGGTCCAATCTATTCCAACATCATCATTCACCTGTTTGAGGGACAGAATTAAATGTGTTTTGCCTCACCGAAAGCAAAAATTGAACAAGAGAATCTTTGCCTGTATTCCTACCAGGTAGAGATCAAAATACCAAGTAATAAAGAAATTCTCAGCTCTCCTTAACAATATTTTGGCTTGCATAAATTAATAGTAAAATAATTCATCAAAAAAGTAAAATAATGAATGATGGATAAATAATTATTAATTATGGAACTGAAAAGAAGTGCTATTTAAAATTAGAGAGTATGTTATCACTGACTGTTAAATGAATATAGCTTCAAATGACAGATTTTTCTTGAGTTAACATTTGGGTATCTATGTGTGTTGGATGTATGAAATTTTCTCTCAGGGTTTTGACCTTTTCTGCTGCCAGATAATGTGTTAGTATACCACAGAAATGAGAACAAAGGAAATCAAACAAAACCAGAATGACAGCTAAGATTTTATTTCTCTGCAGCAAAAGGTATAATATACATAGATAGCGCCTCAAATTTTCAGATTTCTAGATTGGGACTAATGCCTATATATCTGCTTCTTGGACATTTTATTGCATTTCATGTTCACGTTTAACATAAGAAGTGAGAGCAATGAATTTTGTTTAACATTTTGGTTCCATGAAATCTTTCAATATGGCCAAAAAGGGAAGACAGGTACAAATCTAGTTACCTTGGCATTAAATTTGGTTACGAAGTCAAAGTGTTTCTTCAGGTCAGTGGCCAAAATGGCTTCAATGACAAGGAAACGGAAATGCTTAAATTCCACATGGTCAAGGTTAACTAAGAAGTTATACTCTGGCCGGGACATGAAAAGATTCCATGCAGCAGCTGCATGATGATTCTCCAAAACTGAGCGATCGTTGTACAGCACCGCCTAGGCAAGTGAGTAAGAGAGTAAAGAGTTCAACTTTGTAAATTAAAAAAAAAAATACAAAAATAAATGAAAACACGCAGAGCTCTGGGAATCCTCTTTTTTTCATGGAACACAAAAATGAAATCTTCTGACTGCTGGTGATTAAGAAACACTATTGCAATTACATTGACTCTTGACTGCTTTTCTTGGTTAAATTTTCCTTTTTTTTTGTAAGATAAAGTTCATTTCTTTGAAACTTGATTCCAAACTCTTATAAATGAGGAGCTTAGAGTTAGCTTCTGTCAGATTTCTTTGCAAGGAATTTAACTATTAAAAAATAAGCAAATATGCTAATATCCCTAAAAGGTAACTCAGTTATTTTCTGTATGTAGAATAAGAATTACCTTCTCCTAGTTAAACACATATGACTAGTGAAGAGGAATGGAATTGCTGAGAAGCCCATAATTTAAAATAGTCTCATCCCACAATCAGCCACAGGAGATACCACCCCTTATCTAGTAAATGAAGGTATATAGTAAATACACCTTGGAGTAAATATACTTCGGAATTCTCTAATAACGCTGAGGGGTGCCGCAAAGGAGGAAGTTGCCAAAAAATGACTGAAAACTACTGTGATAGATAATAAAGGGGAAAAAAGGCATAAAGACAAAAAAGAAAGACTGAGTATATGAAAATTAATACTGAAGTAAGTAAAAAGGCCTACATGTGTAGGAAAATCTGCATGGTGAATGGTGCTGGCAAGATAATTTGCCTCACTATCTTCAGGGACAATAATCCTGATGTATGAAGGATACACTAAGAGAAGTTAAAGTAGGTAGTCTGGAAAAAAAATCAGGATATTTTTATTATATACAGATGAGGGGAAAATTCTAGACTGGTCTATAGGACATAGGATGGGAGTTTGGTAAAAAAACAAAATGCAAACAAGAAAAAAAGGATGGGATCAGATTAGCCTCTAGGTCCTCTAGAAAGAAAAATAGAATCTGGGAATACTTAGTAACAGGAGTCCAGCTGATTAAATCAAAGAGAAGCTTAATGAGTTTAACTGTATAGATGGAGATGCCTACATACTTAGTGATTAATTTTGATGTCAATTTAAATATATATGAAAATGAACTTCTTTGAAGTTATTGTTTAAGAACACTGTGTTCAGTTATAAAATTCCTCTCGAATGAAATAAATTTTTATTTCCTACTAACCAATAGAAATGCCACAGGTATATCACTGCTATAATAAATACATTTCTAAAGAATGAGATTTACATATAAAGGAGCCTTACATTCTTAAAAGTCGAGAAAGATTTGGTTTTCTAATCTTTTCAGAAAGGGACTTCTGTATACAATGGATTTTCTTTGTTGAGGAGGTTCACTAACATGAATGCAAGTAGTTTCCTAAGAAGAAAATAAAGAGGGGGTCCCCATTTGTGTAATAAATTGTTTAACTGCCATTAATATCTTGGAACAAACTGTGGTATCTTTTCAAAATTAGCATGGTCTCTAAGAATTTAATCCTAGGGCTAAATATAGCCTGGCACAGATTCACTTGGTCCCTATTATACATCAAAGTAATAAAATTCATTTTCTTCAGGGAAATCTCTAAACTGAATTATTTCTCGTGATCAAAATGGGAAGATTCACCTGAGGGGCACTAGTAGCAACGAGGAAAGCATTAGTCCTTCCGGGGTGGTCATAATCATGCATGGCAGCCGCTACATACAGTGCCATCAACTCCAGGGCAGGAATATTGCCAGACAGGCATCCGTATTTATCATCTGGCACATTATACATTTTTGAGAATACATATCCCATATGTCCATGTGCAAATCCACTGTCAGAATCTGAGAAGAGAAAATAAAAGTAACAGAAATTTCTTGTCACTGTTACATTGGTATCATGTGCCTTGACCTCCTTTTTAAAAAAACACTCCTTTGTTCCCCTAGTTCCCCGACGGTGCGCGGATGTACTTAATATGTACCTGAATCACTTGCTGATCCGTGATCATTAATCACAGTTGAGAGGCCTGGAATGGGCTGCGTGGTAAGATACCAAACAGCATGTAAGACGTCAGTGGCATGGATTCTGTTATGATCTGTAACCAATGTAAGGGAACAGTCATTAAACTGTGAACTCTGGCGTCCAAGGACTCAGAGTGCCATCTACTGGATAAATAGTTGAGTTCTAATATTTTAATAACCCCTGGGAAAGACAGCCAAACATTCTAGGACAAAATACTCTTTGATACTCTTCCATTACTCCATAATATCCATAGCAACAAGAGGAAAAAAATTCAACACTTACAACATTCATTATGCATGCAGTAGTCTGAAGCGGAAAATTCTGTATCCAGACTCTACCAGAAACCGAACATATATAAGAAACTCACTATGTGAAACAACTGTGATGTTTACTCTTGTACTTATTTCCAGGCTCCTGAATAAGACTATGTAGACGACCAGAATAAAAGAAAGTCCCAAGACTGACTTAAACTAGGTCAGATCCATGGTCTACACCACCTGATATGTCATCTCTGATAAATGGAACCCAGATACAATCTATGACTAACAGAACATAGTACACGTCTTCTAAATCAAATTTAAAACACTGTAATGAAAAGGAATAATATATATTTTAAATATAGATTAAATCCACAGAGCAAAATTCAAAACCAGAATCAATGATGTTCTCTGATCTACAAATTCTAATTTGGAAATTCTACAGTTTTAGGAAATGCCTCAAGAGGAAAATAAAAACCTCTTAGGATAATAATATCAGGAGGTAAGTCATTTAGAAAAGTAAAAACTATAGGAAAACTAAATGCCCTGGTTATAAGGTCGTTATTATGGAAAGAGGTCTATTCTGTAGGCACCTTCAGCTTCTACTGAGCCACGACCAAAGGCCCAGCGTGCTCTTGGCTTGCCTTTTTTCTGGTGCAATTCTTCCAAGATTTTCTCTTACTTATCTGGCCCTTCATAATACTTCATATTTAATATGCTTTATCCTAAATACGCTAACTTGACACATTTTATTTCTGATGACAAACTGTGATACAGTTTCCATCTCCAATATAATAATCACATCTCTGAATAATACTCAACAGATGAGAAAACAGAAGAGAACAGGAAGAATGGGAATGGGGATTTGAGAGAAACACCTTTCTCTGGTCAGGGAAGAAAGAAGAAACTGACTGTGGTGTTGGCAGTGCACAGGGGGAATGTAGGTATGTGGTACCTATTTCCTACATTTCTGGCAACTCGTAGGAGTCGGTCTTTAAGTGATGACATGCAGCTAAATCTTAGGTAAACCCTCCAGGAGTTCAGCGAAGGGCTGGGAGAGGGTTTAAGAGTATGCCTTCAGAGGAGCTTAAAAAAAAAGCATTCCTAGACTCCAAAGGGGAAAACAAGAAAACCTGGGCATTGTGCCATTGCCAGACATGAGGACCAATACTACCGAGTCCCCCAACACTACCTAGTATTATAAAATCGGAGTCTGTATCTCTGTGTCCAGACTATCTCACATGACTCAAGACCATAACATTTTATGTCTGAACCTGTGCTACGTACAAAGTCGATCATGCTAGAAGCTTCTGGATTTAGAACAGATCAGATTTCATCTCTGCTTTGCTATTTATTACCTGTGTTCCCTTGAGTGGGTTACTTAAAACTGAGTCTCATTTCCTTATCTTAAAAATGTGAATAGTAACAGTGTCTATTTCACAGTGCAACTGGGAGAATTACAGAAAGGAATGTATTTTAAAGTGTGTGACTACACAATTAGCTTGTCATTATTGTAAGTACCACTCATATAAAATAAATTATTCCTGCTAAAACAAAATGGTGAATTAGCATAGATTGCCAGTTTTCTCCCCAAATCAATGCTGGATTTGTACAAATAGAATAGAAGGGCCAAAACAGAAGCTACGTTAAGCCCTTGAGGAGGAAGAAGGCATGATGAGACCTGGTAGAGGGAGAAAATGAGAGCTGGGGCTGTTAGGATATGTTGGGAGGGAGCTCCTGAGATAGGTTCTTTGCTTTACCCCTTTTGCAAGCTGGGCAGATTGCTATGCACAAGTAATCACTAACTACTATTCAACGGCAGAGGATCTGTGCACACGCCCAGCACTGCCAGGTTGATGGTGCATTATCAGCGTGTTGGCAGAGCTGTCTGGGGTGAGAAATAGACAACACTGAGTACAGGTGGACTTCCAGTTCTTGAGCAGTTCTTACTTCCTGCCCCATTCCCCACTCCAAGGCCCAGATCCAGAAGTTTTTATGGGTAATTTTGTAAACTCTCAGTGAACACACATGCCTAACTAAATAATTTAGTGCTGAAAATACATAAAGAAGGGAAGCTACCAAACTCATTTTATGAGGTTTAGTATAATCTTGATTCAGAAAGAAGGTAAAGACAGTATAAGAAAAAATAATACCCTTTTTGCTTTGGAGTATTTGCTTAGGAGCTAACCAAACCTAACTCTTTAAAAATGCATATATAAATATATGTATATATATAAATATATGTGTATATATATATATATATATATATAAAACTCTTTAAAAATAGATATACATATATATATATGTGTGTGTGTGTGTGTGTGTGTGTGTGTGTCTGGTTAATCATGTGTAGATCCAAGAATTCCACTTTCATGATCCCTTAATCAGTATGGAAAATTATCTGCCTTGTAAACAGTAACATGCTTATTAAACAAATTTTACTTAGCATGTACTATGTGCAAGCATTGCTGGTATTGCTGTTGCTCTCATGATTAACACTCTGGTGACTGACTGGGGAGCAAAGACCCCAAGGGGAGAAGCTAGCTAGGTCAGCGAAGGGAACTGACAGGTTTCTGTAGGCTGACACGACATGCTCATAGATTTCTTTTCTTCCTCTGCCCATGGTAGGCAACTGAGAGGGATAAGGAATGATGTCAGAGCTCTCCTTATTTTATTCTTATTGTCACCCCTCTTCCTTCATCTCTGCATTTTGGACAAGCCCCTCTCTTGATAACTCCCTCATCCACCTGATAACAGAAACACACATGCACGTTCCCATGTCACACGCCCTCCCTCCCTCTCTTCCAGAGCATGCCCATCTCCCTCTTCTAGCTTGACACGCTTGTTTTCTCGACTTTTCTCTTATCCCTCAAACACAGAGTTTAAGGGAGCTAGTATGGAGGGCTGGAGCTATATGTAAGACACACAGACTTTTAGACCTAAAATTATAATGTTCCGCTTAAAATTCTGTCTATACTCGTATGCACCAAAGGGTAAGGGGAAGTGCTAAAGAACAGAAGTAACATTTTCAATGTTTTTTTCCTTTAGAATATAATTATTCATAGTTCTACCCTTTTAGCTTGTGCCATGCCATCTCAGCTTTGAAATAAAATAAAGCACTCTCAAAAGTATTTGAGTCCATGAATGAGTATTACCTGTTGATTTATCTTCTTTACTAGCCAATATGCTCAACTGAAAGGGACTATAAAAAATAAGAAACATTATTTATTTCTGTGCAGTTGAGTATATTTACCTAGTGTATCTCTGTGCAATTGAGTTAATTATACCTAAAATTATCCTAATTTTTATCTGACATTTTCATTAGGGAGTTGCCTATATTTATTACTTTGCTCAATGCTATTCCCTGAAATAACTATTTCTTTATCTATCTGAACCTATTTTAAAATTAAGATCCTTCAAATTTTAGTAAGAGTTCTGCATACAAATTTAAAAGCTTTCATAGTTTCTCTCTCAGAAATTGTTAAGTGTGTATCTAGAAGTATAACAAAATTTAGTTTCTAATATTTTAGGTCATTGTCATATTAGAGTTACTCTAATCCCATTTGGTTACTCTTAGACTTTTTCAATTAGTTATGGGATTATTCAGATAGAACCATTAGAAGTATAATAAGAGTAAGTATTATTAAAAACAGATATAGAACAAATGTTTGTGTGTGCTGATTAACAATAAATAGCTTTTTATAAATATCCATATTAGTTTGATTTTACAATACTACCTCATGCAAAGTGTTATTATTTAAAAGTAATCACCACTCAAGCTAAAACTTTCCTTTGAGAAGATGCAAATAAATTCCCTTTATGGAAAGTATCTGGGGCTTTGAATAAATCAAATAGGTTTATTATAACAAATTGTTTTCACATGGAATGAAGAAACCACCAGGAAAAACCATTTCAGGAAAAACATCTATTCACTTGTAACATATAAAAATGTAGTAGGAAAACGTAAAAATGAATAACAAAATTTAGAATCTTCTTTTTATACTTAAATATGGGTCAACTGTCCCTATGATTTAATGATATACTTCCTAGAGGAAAGTAAGTAGTAATATCAATTTGCACTCAATGGAATTTGGAAATCACTGATTATTTTAGTAAAATATATTTGGAAATATAACAATTTGTGAATTTAGTCTGTTGACTAAGAAAACGGCATTAAGAAAGCAGGGCTTATCTTGAGATCATTGCAAACTACCCCTTTTTCTTCTCTCTTTCTTTTCCAACTTCCATGGCCCTATTGACCAGATCTTCCCCAGGGGCCCAGTGTTCTTAAGTTCTTCTTCACTCTCTCCATCCTATTCTGCCTGCATATTTTCTCCCACCTTCTGCAACATATCTCATTTATAGATTCAATTCTTCCTTCTCTTTTCCTCTGGCACACCATACCATCAGCTGTGGTTTCACTCCAGTGTAGCATGTGGATGGCATTTGAACACAAAATGTTAATAATGGATCACTAGGTTAATGCACTACCCCTTTCTAGAAATACCTGTGCTTTATCTGTTTCCATGTTTTTATTTAACATCAAGTCATTGCAACCCCAAAAAGATACAGGGTTCTAAAGTCAAAGGTACATAAAAGCAAATTTAAAACTGAAAGTTAAAACATGATTAGATAACCCATTTCTAAGTCATGCTCCAACCACTGTATGCTTGGTTCTTTTTCTTTCTGTGCATTCATTTCCTAAAAGTACCACAGGATTTCCACACATTATCATAATTTCCTAATTCAATTTGCAGACATTTTCTTCAGCTCCATACATGTTGTGGCATGTAGGACAATTCTACTTATGTGTTCTAAATTATATCTGAAACACTATGTATTGAAAATTTAATTTAATATCTCCTCTGTTTGAATTTCTCATGATTTTGAATGAGAGATTTCTCTCACACTAGTCGAAGTTCTAAAGCTTGAAAACTTGGTGCTGTCCTTTCCTTGGTCTTCACATTTATTTGATTTTTAAACTGTCTGTATTAAAGTCTCTACAACCACTTCCAGATGTCTCGTCTTCTCCATTTTATAATTAGACCATCATCTTCCTGTCCCTCCAGTCCCAGCCAGGTTTATTTTATATTGAAAAGCTTCATTCGTTAGTGATTTAACTCTACAGATGCCACAACAAAAGTTGAATTCACATAATAAAAGGGGCACATTATAAAATGAGCAATACGTTTATATTTAGCACACACTTAAATTGGACTTCCTATGTGCAAGGCTCTATTATAATCCCTTCCGAACTATTACCTCATTCTATCCTCATAACAATCCTATGAAGCAGATATTACAATCTCTATTTAATAGATTAAGAAATGAGTCATACGGAGGTTAAGTAAGACCCAAGGTTTCCTACAGCTAGTAAGTGAAGGGGCCAGGAGTCTAACTCAGGCTATTATCTCCTATTCACTATACCACGTGGCTATATGGAGTGCTTACAATGTGTAATTTTTGTACTACCTGCCAATGATTCCATTTTGTATTATTCAGAGCACATTCAACAGATTTTAGAAGTATTGCTTTGCAAATGACTTATACTTACAAGGAATTTCCCTGTATCCAATCTCCAGAGCATGAAAATAATTCATAAATTCCCTGACTGGAATTTTAAAAGCCTCAAAGAGGCCCATGTCTTCAAAAAGTCTGTATGATACCTGTAAAAGAAAAAGACAAAGAGTTAGAAAACATCCCAGGGTGTGTGGACATGAAAAGAAAAAAAAAGAGTTGAAAATTAACCCCATTAATTTACAGCCAGTAGAGATACTTAATGGAGCAATAAATCAAATAGATACTCAAGATCTCTATGTGCCTACCCCTCGTATTTCCTGTCCACAAGGGTTATATAATCTGTTTTTAAAGGTAGAGACATACCCCCAAAAACCAACCAACTGAAACAGGAGTATACACTACAAAATATGTCAAGACTAAACTGTGTATTATATATATATAACTACTAAATTCCCAATTACATAATACATACTATAAGCAAAAAACGAGAGAAAGTTCTAATTCAGACTAATTTTATTTTTTTAAAAAAGCTTTCCAGTGGATAGAGGATTCATGATCGTTTCTTACTGAAGGATAAAGGGAAAGAATGATGAGAGGAAAAGGGTCTCCTTTATTAAAATATACAATTGACCCTTGAACAACACGGGTTTGAACTGTGTGGTTATACACCATTTATACAGTTATTTTTCAATAAGTATACTGAAAATTTTTGAGATTTGTGAATTTGAAAAAGCATTCTTTTTTTACAGTATATAATACATATAACAAATTTTTTTTGGATAATTGTGTATATTATTAGTAAGATCTCTGGTCAACACTAGGCTATTAGTAGTTAAATTTTGGGAGAATCAGAAGTTATACATGGACTTTCGATTACACCAGGGGTCAATGCCCCTAACTTATGTGTTGTTCAAGGATCAACTGTATAAAGCAAACAGATTTATTCTAATCCAATATGAATAACAATGTCTAAACTATTTTTCCTCACTTGGCTTCTCTCCTCCTGTGAATATCTATCCTCCTTCCAACTTTTCACAGCTCTAGTGACTCAAATTAAGTGAATATCTTTGGATGTAATTGGCACATTTGATATGCAAATGATGAAGCCAAAAAGAGGTACAGAGGAAGGCAATTGGGAGAGAAATTATTCACGTGGCAGAATGGCGTAAGGCACCACTTAAAGTGGCCCTACTTCATGTCACAAAAGCGGTGTTGGTGATAATTCAGGAGACCTTAGGAAAGAATTATTCATTTTTCTTATCTGCATTCCTTCTTAAAATTCTCTTGAAATATTTCTTCAAAATCTTCAACATACTGTTCCATAGTTAAATTGCTATCTTTTGTTATTGAATCTAAATTTTTTTATTATATATTGTATGTTTATATATTCAGTATTTATCACATACACTATATACATAGGCATACTAGAGGATACGAAATGGAGAATCTCATGCATGTGCCCTCAGGAAGACAAAACTGAAGGACTGTGAAACTGATTTTCCATTAAGTGCCTGATTACCAAAAAATGGTAGTATTGGAATTTTCTTAGATGATAGGGAGTTGATCAGGGGCAGTCTCCTATCAGCCTTGGGAAGCTGTATTTATGGTTTCCAGATGCATGAACAAGAAATGACCCAGCCCAGCCTGTCTTTCAAAATAAGCTGAATTGAACTTTGTTGGTAAGACTGGATTGGTTTTGTCTGCTTGGAGAATTTTCAAAGTTGGTCTCCATTAGTTTTTTATTTAACTGAACTCCCCACTCTTTATATTCCCTGCTCATCTATACAACCTACCCCAAAACCTCAATGGACTCGCCTGTACCTTGCTCTAGTTTTGCAACTGAATTGCCATTCCTCTATTTTCCCCCATTTCTGACAAGTTTTAGCTTGCCTCAGTTTACCTCATTATTTAGTCAATCTGACTGAAAAAGGGATTGATCCATTCAGCAAATTTCTATTGAGTGCCTACACATACTCTCTATTGTATAAGGTGTATATAGGTGAACAAGACTATAAGAAGTTCTTGTATATAATATATATACACACACACACACACATACACACACACACATACATACATATAGATAGATTTTGGAAAAATTCTATATACATCATAAAAACATATCTTTGGTTGCTTGCTTCTTGGGGTATGTCTTTACCTTTGGCAAAAGGCTATATCTATCTATCTATAAAACATTTAATAAGTGAGATACCTGTTCTACATAGTCTGTATATTATTTACACATAATTAATCCTCACAGCACCTTATGAGATAGGTACTGTTAATTATTAACATTTGAAAGCAGAAGAAAAAACTGAGGCACAGAGAAGTTGAGTGATTTGTCCAAGATCACACAGCTGACATATTCCTAGGTAGAAAGACAGACATGAGCAGCCAGGGAAGGTGAAGGAAAAAACTGTCAGTTAGGGGGTCCCCCTTGAAGACAACAAAGGCTTTGTGGGAAGATAACAACCTTGCCTATTGGGACCAGGCTAAACCGGTCCCAACCAGATCACAATGCAATAAAACTAAGAACTGCCAAAACAACACACTTTATCATAATTTCATTAAAATAAAATTGCAGTTTTGCTTCCTACCCCTCTGCTCTCCCCAACCTCCATGAGCTTTTCTGTTTGCATTTTGGGAAAAGGCATATTCACCAAGAGGAATGTGTGTATAACTGGAACTGTCAATCAAATGACCTCACCTTGTCAATCAAAGAGGCACCTCCTAGCCAGGACAGGATTCAAGAGACCTTCCCCTATAAGATGGGGGCCTTTGTCTACCTTGACTCTGGCCCACTCCTCCCTTGGAGTACATTCAAATAAAACTTTCCCTCTGCTTGGCTATTGTGTCTCTGCCTTTCAATTCTTTGTTTCGATGGGAACAAGAACCAAGAACAAACATCCCGCAGCATTATCAGAAGCAGAATTCAAGCCAAGTATTTTGGCTTCAGATTTTGTACTCTTAACTGCTTCAAATTTTACTACCAGTATATGAAAAATAATACTGTTAGGATTGAAAATAACTAAAGTGTTTTCTATTAATCTTTAAAACATTTGAAACATGAATTGAAAAATTAAGCAACAGGATCGTTCAGTGTATGATTTTACAATGGAAGACTTTTCACCAAGAAGCTGTTAGAAACAGCCACCAACAATCCAAAACCCGTACATAAAGGCACCATGACCCAGCTAAATACTGTGGAACTGAAAAAACTAAGCACTATTCCAAAGTCTGAATGCTGCTCTTTTAAATTCGTTAAAATAAACATGATAATCATCAAAAGGGCAGACAGTGTACTGAGACGGAGAAGCCATTTCCATTGCACATGTCTCTTTAAAAATCTTTTGAAGTGAGACTTTTTTGTGTAGTTTCAGCCAAAAGGTTGGACTGTTCAAGTTAACTCATTTCAGCTGTCCTGAAGTCTTACTTAAGGTGAAAAAAATACGTCTTTCTTTCACACAGTGAAAATTTCATGACTTCTGTGCTTATAAACTCAGAGCAAAAAAATCCCGTAAAGTTCTACTTAGCAAGGCGATTGAAGCTGTGTTTTCTTGAAAGTTCATGTTTTGTAAACTGGAAAAATCAATAGTGACATAATAAGGATCATGTAGTTATGGGTTTATTTTTGAAAGAGGACAGGAAAAAAAAGGTAACAGTGATGAATTTTGTCCAAATCTAATTGTTAATGATTGCTTATCTTTCTACTGTGTACTCATACCCATGACTCTCAGAAAACATTTTGTGGCAACGCTGGTCAAGTTTCACCCTACCGCTCCCAGAAGTTCAAGGGGAACTGTATGCCTGCAACAGTATTTGCTACACTGTCAGCTGGGCTGTAAAACCGACTGCCTATAATTACCTTGCTCAGACTGCACATTCAGAGAGTTTGAAGATATCAGAAGTGAATGTGTTTTTACGGCAGTGCTAGCAGGGGGTGGTTTTGGCGGCTGAAAAGCAGTTGAAATGAAGGTAAGAAGCTTGGATTTCCAATATGGATATATCTGCATTCAAAACACAGGTCCAATATTTACTATATATCTTTGGATGAATAGTGTATCCCCTTTCAAGCCTCAGTTTCTTCTTAAAATTGAGATTTTTAAAAAATACCTGCATCAGACTTGCTGAGAAGATTGTAGAGTTTTGCATAATATATCAAACACAAACAATGTGAGATTTTTCTATTCATACAAGGGAACACACCCTCCAGGAGAAGAGAAACGAGACTTCCTCCTCACTGATCACATCTTATGGCACCATTACAGGCATATTTCCAGGTAAAATCATTCCCTCAGAGTTGTCGTCTGCAATGGGTTGCAGAAAAGCGGGATACAAAACCTCCCAGGTGGAGCCCTGAGACATTAGGCTAAGGTGGATGGGATGGAAATGGCTGCCATTAAACCTGTCCTGAAGATCAGCTAGCATAAAAGACACTGCTTAGCACTGAGGAGAAACGAAGAGAAGAACAGACTGTTAACTCCTAGTACAAATGCAAGGGCTGCCATTCTAGTCCACCAGCACAGAGTCCAGCAGAGTTTACATGTTATGTAGACCTTGTAATTATTTTAAGCTTTATAATAGATCAATCATTTTAGCATACTTCTCTTGTATGTAGCAAGTGGACCTGTCATTATTTTGATACATATTTCCCTACTAGAATGGAGTTCCTTTAAGGCAGGGGCATATTTTTCTTCTTGAAGACTGGACTTAGTACTTTGTGTCTGTAGAACTCAACAACAGAGGAAAAGACTCCCTCTCTCTTCTTTGATACCTTTCTTCTTTTGAGGGACTGTGTCATCTTTTCTTCTGTTGAATTCTATGACTTTTAGGTCATTTCTCCATCTTGCTTGTGTATCCCCTGCCTCCCTTCACTGTCAGATTTTACTGCACATGTACAGATTTTAACTGCAGCATAGGGTATTCTACTCTCTTGAAATTCTTTTTTTAACCTACCACCAAGGAATCTACAGAATGTTGCATACTAACATTTCCTTTCTCCACCCAATACCCACCTCCAGTGTCAAGCACGTACATAGCTTTAACCAACCAAGGAATTGTTTTTTCTACATTTAAAGTCATACATCATACATATGAACGCATTTCTTACCTGACTAAGAATACGGCCACATTTCCTTCCTATTTTTTCCACTAAATCAAAAATTGGGAAATTCCAAGTATTTAGCTGCTCCATAATTGGGTCCAAGTTGTCCATGACGAGAGGTTCAGGAGCAAGCATTGGTTTGTCCTGCAAGGAAGATGAACTATCTTTAGTTCATGCAGTTTTTCTACTAAGCAATTTCTGTTTTGATAAGTGCAATTCAACAACAAAGTTTACTTGAAATAAATGACTTAACACTTCAGGGTGAATGAGGAATCTTCAAAAAAAGTCAAGATGAACAAGACACTGACCCCAACATAAAAGGAGAAAAGGTCCTAAAGCTGTTTTGGGCCATGAATTTTGCATAGTTACAAGCCTGCTTATTCCTCATTCATACATATTATAGCAAAAAAATGGACTTTTTCTGATAAGTTAACAGCTTTTTCATCTACCATGGAGTTCTTTAGTAAAGATTCAAGGACTTCAGAACACTCTGAAATTGTATGTAAAATCTATCTCTTTTTATGTTTATGTAAGTTTTTCTGGGACAAGAGTTCCTGGATTGCACTGGACTCCCCCCAAAAAAATCTGTGTCAGGAAGGGGAGTTAATCAACCCTATTCTAATTGATTGAATTTGTATTATTGCTTCAAAATCAGCATTAATCCTGCTGAAGGACAAGTACCACATTTTTCAGTGATTTTGATTTAATTCATGTGATTAAATCAAAGGATTCCAAAGGAACATGCACCATATAATAAATGTAAAAATATTTTATAACTGGTCCCAAGTAAGGATGTCTATTAAGAGTTCATTTACCAGAAATGTAGAAAATAACAATAATGATGAAAAGGAGAATTAAATTATTTTATCTGACAATCTGACCAAGTATAAATGGTAGATCAAAGAAAAATGACAATAGCAGCTACTGATAATCACATGACAGTCAACTATTTTCTACTATTTGCTGCATCCTCAAAACTAACCTAACTCAAATGTATGCTTTTATCCTCTTTAAGTGGATCTCTTTAAACACACAACATAAGTTATCACTAAAGGATAAAAAGGTTAGCAAATGTTGACATAAACTTGTTTTAATGTAACAAGGAAATAAATATTGGCCCACTTTCTAAATCAAGGAGCTTTTAGAAATAAATTGCAGAAACTCTAAGACAAATAACAATTTCACAGTTATTGACTGGTATTTGTAAAATATTGTTTTGCTGAATGAAACAATTCACTTTTCCTACATGTATTTATACTTTTAGATTAGGCTGAGAAATATCTGCAGTCATTTGTGAAGATGAATAATTATGTTTTTAATCACTAAGTAATAGAATCATTAAGAGATCAATAAAACTTAGACAGGGAAAAATTATATTGATATAAATAGGCAGGGCTATAATGTGCTATGATCCAAATGGTATACATCTGTAAAACCTAATGATTCAGGAATCTATTTATAAGCCAATCTTTGTAATAAGAGCCAATTTCTCGAGTAAATGACAGAGTTAAATAATGACTGAGTTAAGTAATGCAGGGCTACCAGGAATATCATGGTCTCAGACGTGTAGGTGCTGCAAGCCGACGTTTTCCTGGGAGGCTCCCTCACACACTCAGTCTCATCTTCATTCTGTACAATGTCACTGCTGTCACTGTTGTTATTGGTTTCATAATCAGAGGTAACCTGAGCAGTGTCATCTGCAATTGAAAGAGAAGCTTATTATGAAACCTGAAAGGAATAGGGGTCGCTTTTAAGCAAATATTCCCAAAATGCACGTGGTAATAAAGCATTTAGAAACATACTGCTTTCACAAGCTCATCCACCAAGGATACAGAATCATAGGAAGGGAGAAAGCATATATTTTTAACCCAATGAAGTAGAATTATCTATGACTTACACGACCTGCATTAATTCTTCCATACTACTGCTTAGATCAGCAGTTCAGACCTTTATAAAGTCCCATGGTTACACATTTCTTTCTCCTTTATGCATCGCCCAACACTCTAACCCCCCAAGTAGCTGATTAAAACATGCACTCTAGAAGTGGCAGATGGTGGAAGAAATTGTGTTAACACCCAAAACAAAGTGGTTGGAGAACACAGGACAATAGCACGTGCTTAAGACACCAGGAGATCCAAGCGTGTCCAAACGCCACCCCATGGAATCTGTGGTTTCCTTCCTTACCTGCCTCCCTTCACTGTCTCGCATTTCAGTCAGCACTCACCTGTGCTAAACTAGAGGCCCAATCAGGTAATACCAAGTGTCTGTAGAATACGCTCCTGGGGCGAAGACCTTGTGAAGCTTTCTACAGCTGAATAAGGTGCCTGACTGCAGTTCCCTGAGTACGTGTTCTGAGCTGGAGACCACTGCAAGAACTTACTGTGTTCTGACACACTGAGACCTCTCGACAATCCTCGGAGACAAGATATCCATCCTATTGCACTACTACTATCCTCGCTTCGTAGACAGGAAACTGAGGCACAGAAAGGATAAGTGAATTGCCCAAGGCACACAGCTGGTAAATTTTGCCACCCAAATGTGAACTGGCAAAGTCTGACCCTAATCCCTATGTATCTTTACTTCTGATGAAGTTTAGTTGTTTTTTCTTTTACAGTTATTTCTCTCCACGTTCTACAGTATCTTTACCTTTCCCTCAAAGCACAAAGATATCTCCCTGTGTTTTCTTTCAGAAGCTTTATTGTTTTGGCTTTGACATTTAGGTCTATGTTTCATCTCAGAATAATGTTTGATATGGTGTGAGGTAGGGGGTGAATGTCATTTTTTCACAAACCCAATTGGATTGCTCTTGCATTTTTGTTGAAAATTAAATATCATGGAGGTATGAGTCTAACATGGGGCTTTCTACTTTTGTCAGCTTGATCTATTTGCTGATTCTTACACCAGCACCACACTGTCTGGTTTAAATCTTAAAGTCAGGTAATGTATTTCTTCTAACTTTGCCCTCCTTTTTCAAGATAACTTTAGATATTCTAGGTTTGTGTCCTCATACATTTACCAACTGTTTCATCTTGAATTTCTAGTGAATAATGGTTGTTGTTAGGTAGCTTATTCCAATCAGGAGCATCTTGTAGGACTTTTCCAAGGACCCATCTTTCTTCTATCTTTTTCACCCAACTGCTTCTATATTAGCATCAGACACAGTATGCAAATGTAAATGACAAGTTTCAATCCCAGAATTTATTAAAACAAAAATAAAAAAGCACTCTCAGAGGCCTCAGCTCTATGTGAGAGCACAAAGGTGATAAGGAAACACTCCCCTTATTCTACAAAGTCAGAGAGGATCAGAGACACAGAGAAAGGAATATTCTGAGTCATATAATGGCCACAATGAGAATTCTTTCGATTTTTTTTCCTTGCCTATGTCCCCTGACCTTTGTACATTTCCACGACACTATCCTCACAGGCAAATAATCAATATTTGTTAAGTATGTATCAATAAATGATGAAGCTGATAATTAAGGATACATTTTAGGTAACTCTATCACCCTAACATCTGTAGTTCACAGAAGCCATTTTTTTCTGCCTTGTAATCTTTCAGCACGAACAAAAGCAAGTCCCTAGTGTTGCAGCAGTAAAAATAAAATAATTATTGTAGTAATTATTAGCTGCTAAAATAATTAGCAGTAAACAGTAACTTACAGTGACCCAGATACTGGAAACAGTTTATAATGTTTAAAGCAATTTAATTCTCACACAAATCCTGTTCGGTAGATACTATTATTCTCTTTATTTGTAAATGAAGTAACAGAGACACAGAGATTACACAGACTAGCAGACAGCTGAACTGGGATATACGTCAGGCTGCAATGTCTGTGTTCTTACTCTCGCCGTAATCCTGCCTCAAAGAGAAACATCTTGACAGTTTTGCATTAAAATTTTAACCACAATGAACTCTAGCTGGCAGGATTAGGGATGATTTTGACTCCCTTCATTGTCTTTTTAAATTTGTAATCTCAAAAATCAGGAACATAAGTCACCTTTATGATAAAAAAAAAAATTAAGCCATTTCCATCTTGAGGAACAGATTTCAGACAGAGAATTACCTGGTCTGCCTGGGGTCTGAATGGCTGCACCACTTCTTTCCAGGGACCCATCAGCAGGACTGCCTTGGGAATATGGTCTGCCACAGCTGAGAAATATTGGAATAGCTGTAAGTATAGCCTCTCTGTTCAAAAAAGCATAGGCTTACACCATCCATGTGTACATTAAGACAGATTAGAATAATCAAGTATTTCTACCTTTGACTGTGATGGGAAAAATTCATTTTGTTTTATACATGGATGCTGACATGCAGTATATTATTTCCTTTTTTGTGAGGGCATGATAAATACAAAGGATCAGAAACATCATTTCACTCACATTTTCCTCCATGGTCTAGACCCGATTTGATGTGAAACAACTGGCAAAATTTTGTTACATTATTTAGAAATTCCGGGGATGGTCTGGTACCTACTGGTAGTAGTGATTTTGGAGGCACTGATATGAATTTGGTCAAAGTATCTTCCCCAATGAAAGCCCTTGTGCCCACTTAAAAGCCTCATTATTAGATTTATTTCTATGGGTGAAGATATTTTATGTCCAAAGAGCCCTTTGAGAAAAGATTGTATATGTGAAAATAGAATGATGGTATGTTATTTCTTACCTCAAAATAAGATTTTTTTCAGACTGATCAGTCACCTGTTAAGTCCTTAAGGAAATGAACAAAGTAGAGGGACATTCTGAAGAACAGTGAATGTAAAATTGACTGCATAGGGTGCTATTTGAGGAAAAGAGACCAAGGGGATAAGGTGGGTAACTGAGAAAAATCCAAGTATTTGAGAGGTGGACAGGACTCTTTAACAGAGGAAGTTGGAGGATGTAGGATACTTTTGCTTTCTTACCAGTTTTGACTGTTGGTTTGTAATTTAACCACAGATTACTCATTCTAAAGGGAAAAGAAATGAGTGATATCTGATAAGCTAATCTATTAAATGTCTCATCGTTTTTTCCTCCTGAATCGTGCTCACATGTGCAGTAGAGATAAGCATTTTCCATTAGGGAGTGTTTTTATCCTTAGTAAATTTATTTTTCAACTCTTGAATGTAAGTTGACAAGCTTCACATGCAAAATACTTCTAATTATGAAATCCCATCAGTTTGATTTAGGGAATCAAAAGAAATGACAGGACCAAAAGGAAAAAAAAAAAATGATGCAGATAATGGGCTTACATTTTTGGATGAAATTCAGTAGTAGCAGAGTTTATTAGTTCCAAATTTTTCATTGCAAGATAATATTTAAAAGGAACATTTAAATTAGCAGTTCAAATATACTACCTCTTATGCCAAAAAACAGCTTGTTGCATAGACACTACAGCAGCCAAGAGACTGAGATTCAACGCCAAACCTTTTGAGTTCAGCAGGGGAAACCACAATAATTAGTCGTGTGTTTCTGGAGCTCTCTGAGTCTACATGGGTGGCTGCCGTGAAGGCAATAATAAAACATGGTTTGAATTATGGATTATAAAGCCCAAACAAATAAAACACACATTACTGGATTTATAAACATTACTAAACAAGTAGGCAGTGAAATTCCCTTGTTTTTCTCTTAAACTTCTTTTATAAAAATCCTATTATATTCTTCCTAAGAATAATAATAATAAAAAAAAAGACTGTGATGAGAAAAGCTATGTGAGTGGTAGATCCTTTCTGAACATCTCTCCTTTCTTTAGGAGTAACTTATTTTCCACAAGTATGAAGCCCACAGTGGGAGATTCTCCTTAGAAATTTGTGGAAGCTGATGTCCTTGATGCTAATTATTCCACTGGATTTCATCTGGGCTTAGAATGCATACAACAGAAAAAATGATTCTTAAGGTTGTTCTACCAAATACTAGCTCCTTGGGCAATTATTGGGTGTTAACCTAAAGAAATAGGTTCTGTGGTCAAATAAATGTGGCTTTCTTTTTGCAGGACTTCTCAGAACCTTTAATAAAGTAATGCATGTTGTGTATCACCAAGAGAGAAATATGTCATGTCTGTTTTACCACAGACCATACCTTCTGTGTGTGTGTTTGAGGGAAGACCAGATTAATATGCCACAGAAATTAGTTTATTAAAAAGAGCTATCAGAGAGGGTACCAGAATAACTTTTGGAGGGTAGAAAAACTTTTTACTCTGGCCCTAATCAAACAAACAAATAAAAAGGATTTTCCCTTTTAGCATATTTATAAAGAGAAAGAGAGTAAAAAATACAGGCTACAAAAAGAAACAACATTCATTTAACTTATTCAGTTTATGGACAAAGTAGTGAAAATGAAATCTGTGAGGCTTAAAACTGAATATATTGATCAAATCTGAGACTGTGAAACAACATATTTGTAATGATATCAGTAGGCCACTCAAATGCTTGGCCTCATTGACCTTAGAAAAGAAATAGCGTTTTATTTAAGGCACTCTTGTGATTATCCTTAGTTGAAAAACACCAAGCTCTTTTCTACTTAAAAAAGATATCGTAATGCTTTAAGATCAATTATTCAAGATCAAGTCATTATTGAAGAACAGGAATATGTTAACCAGTAAGAGGGGGTATTTATTTCTTAGTGATGGTGTTGAAGAAATAAATTACTTTTGCTATGCTAGGCCCTTTTTTCTCAACTTCCGTAAAAAACACCACTTTGTATTCTATTTCAATACGTTGAAGCAGTACATTGATTGTTTAACTGCGTAGAGACCCAAATGAATCCAGTCATAATGTATCATGTGTTATCGGCACATCTTTAAAGTGTTAAAAATGAGAATTGCAAAGTTAAGATGAAATGCATTTAAAATTGATATAAAATCCTCCCTGGAGAACAAATAAAAAATATTCCAACACAATATGAGATTACATTAAATTACATGATAGGACTTTTTAATTATCTATTCTGTGCATTGTCCATCAGTAAGCAGATGAAATATAAAACTGATTATTTTATATCATCTCTGAAGATGGATTATATGGACTCTAAACTTTTTATTAATAGAAAACCTCTGAAAAGTTAAGTTTCTATTATAGCCTATTCAACATAAATCACATTACCCAATACTTTTTAGCCAAATATTTTAACAAACCCACACATAGCTACACAGTGGCCCGGGGGTGGGTGTTCCTAAGAGGAAAACTAATATTAGTTTGATTATTAATCTCCAGTTAACAGTATCAAATACTTACCTGCTACATATAACAGGTGGAGCGAGGATCTGAGGAGAGAGGTCAGGGGCACTTTGAGTATAAGTTAAGGCCCTGTGAGAACTTAGGCGTTGTTTGGCAGTTGCGTCTGAAGATTCTGGAAACTGGACTGCAGAAACTTTGCTGATGGGGCTGCTGGTAGGAGTCCCTTGGAGAGGTGAGGAGCAGGGTGAGGACAGAGGTGAGATTTTAGCCAGGGCACCTGAAGAAGAACAAGACTTATTATTAAGTCACTAGGTAAAATGTCTTTGAAATTCCAAATTTCGACTCAGGAATCACCTTGGACTCCTCTTTACTCAACAAGGACCACGTGTAAGTACTCAGGCCGTGGGGCTGGCCCAACTCTGCATGCCACCATCCGGAGACGGGGTGTAGAGTGTAGGCCTCTCCACAGTATGCAATGTGGGGGATGAAAAAATCAGTAGCAAGTTGGCAAATCCAGCTAAAGCCCTGGTGTCCTGGAGTAACTTCGGGACCGAAAGATACTATTTTTCTCTCCCATTTTTGTGTCTTGTCCTTCTGACAAGATGATGGTCTTTAATGCAACAGTATATTCTATTGTTTTAAACATTAATGTACCTGCACCAGAGTCTGGCAGGTATCAGATGCTTAAGATACGTGGATTAAGAAGCTAAAGTTTTTATTAACCATCCATGTTCTCAGAGAAACTATATTTGTGTGTGAAACAGCACTTTGTGCAGGATAATTTCTGAAGAAAACATTAAAAAAGGTAATACAATCCACCACAGATCAAACAATCAGGCCTCAAGCTTAAATTTTAAGTGTGAGTATTTGTGCCAAACTGTGTTTACTCTTCAAGCGTGAAAATGTTGCAGAACACGGGCCTAGGTTTCAAAGTGCTGATGTCTGAGTACAGGGACGATGTGGTTTGAAGTTCTTCTCTCCCAAACATACAGAAGGCATCCTGCACTTAGCATTGAAGAAAAGAGAGAAGTAACTTCTGAATAACTACCTGCTTACTGTTTTTCCTGATTTTATGGCTGAACAGCCGACTGTAAAGCAAAGGAAATGAAATCACATTAAAAGTTGTTTTCTATTTCTCACTACTCCAGGGAAATGTACAGCCAGCAGCTGTCCATCATCAAATAATGTGTGTGTGAACTGGCATCTGGGTTCGCCGTGCTTCCAATGTCCAGTTCTCTTGAAAGTGTCACGTGTCACACCCAAAGGTTTCCTAGTCCACTGTAAGCAATGTTAAAGCTTGCAGAAAGGCTTTTGTAATTTTTAACATTCTCATTGGCACTGTGTTATTTCTTTTGTTTTGTTTTAAAGGATGATTTCTCTCTTTCTTTGATTAAGTGTGGGGGATGGCAACCCCTCTTAGTCATTTTCTCAATATTTCTATTGATTCATTCCTGATCAACAGATTAATCCTCTGCCTTTATACTTAAATGAAACCAGAGACCCAGAGAGGTTAAATAACCTTCCCAGGGTCACAGTGCTAGTAAGCAGGAGAAAATAGTATGAGACCAGCTATTTTTAATAAAATGTGATTTTTTTTTAGCCTGTACTTCCATCTGAGACCGCCCAAGGAGGAAGAAAAAGTCATCATCTACTAGATAGTAACTGAATTGCTTTTTTACAATGACAGGCCTTGCAGTTTTTATTTTTATTCGTATTGGAAAGATTTAGCTATTTCACCAAAGATAATGACAAACTTTCACATTGCATAATATCTTCAATTTTAATATTTCTCTAATATTTTACAATTAGATTTTATCATTTTAGGAAATAAATAAAATTTTCACCAAGCTCCAAATCCCCTCCCAGTTCTCCATTGCAATTAATGTTATTGTATTTAGTCATATTATTACACATGTGTGCTCTGATGTAAAAATGGTTGAAAAGGGCTAGTTTAATTTAGACTATCTGTTAGACTACGGCCAACTGAGTCTCCAGATAACTTTGGAAAAGTAGCGTAACCATTAAGGTGCTGGATGGGGGTATGACCAAGGTTTTACATATTTACAACATATTTACAGACAGTAAGAATCCCAACAATTTCTTCATTGAACAACTATTGATTATGTGAAACTGAGAGATGGAAACCTCATTTGAAATGGAGACAGGTGACCAGAAGGGGGAGCTCTCACACCCACCGCTGCTGCTTGTCAATAGCAGGCCCCACTGAAGAAGCCACTATTTATTATGGCAGCAGATTTTGTCTTTGCCCAGCAACAGACCAGTTAATGAGAGACTGTCACAACTCAGCCAATGAAAAGCCACTATAATCCAAACTCCAATGGGCTTGCTTATAACCCCTTCCTAACTCTCCACTGGCCTCTATAAAAGCACATTCCTCTCCTTTGTTCTCTGGACTAGCCTAGTGTTTGCCATAGTGGGCATGTTCTGAAGTGCAATTCCTCCGCTATTCCCAAATAAACCCATTTCACTGGTTAAATAACTGGCTTTTTTATTTTTAAGGTTGACTTTATTTAGTGTCAGGGAAGTGGTGGGATCCAGAGTAGATCCCCAACAGCTCCGAAGATGCTAAGCAAACAGGTGCTGGGACCCTAGCTCCTGTGCTTTGTTCCTAACCCTGGAGCTTGAGGGTTAAGTTTTCTCCTGGATTCCAGCCTTGTTCTCTTTGCATCTTGGGCTCTCTACGATTTACTCAGGATCTGCTTTAAGTCTTCGTCCCTTCTGAGAGTACTCATTTGGCCTTTGGTGCAATTCCTTTCTGGATCTGGAGTATTCCTACTGGAGCTGTGTGCAGGCCTCTGGTCTGATTCCTTTTGGAACCAAGTTGTTCTTGTTGGAGTTGTACTATTCAGGAATTTTTCTTTATGCTTTAGAAAAAAACATCAAAGAGATAGGAAGCCAGTCATCAAAATGCTTTTAGGGTGCCCCTCCTTCAGGGACCCTTGCTGATATTATGTTTAAAAACTATGGTCCCTCCTCACACATATTCTTAAATAAATGGACCAACTTGGCTAAAGATAATTTAGTGATTTAATAGCCTTTATGAAGGACTTTTGATCTCCCCAAGCTGTTTTTCTCAAATCTAAATTAGAAACCCATGGCTCCAAAATTAAAAAAAAAAAGTAACAGAATGGAATATCTATTTTAATTGGCACGCAGAAACCTCCGAAAGATTTCAAGATTCCAAAATAGTTTCACTGACAGATTCATTGCAAAAGGCAATAAAATTTTCATGACTAATCTAAACACGATTATTAAGAACCAGTGAGCTAAATAACTTTATGTAAGTAATATCAAAGTTTATAAAGGAACTTTTCAGTGATATTTATATCTACTTAAATAGTTTCCCAAAATCTTAGTGACTTAAAACCTTAGAGCTCTGCTAAGTTAAATTAGATGATGGATATCATCATAAACTATCTAGATCATTTCCAAGTAAGGTAAAATACTGAAACATTAATTACTGAACATAGGTTTATCTACATTTGAATTCTTATTACAGAGAAACTAAAAAACATTTGGATGTGTTAGAACTACATGGAAAAATTGAAAAGGCATATACTTCTAAAAATTATGAAATGTATTCATAAATTTGTCAATCTAAAGCATGCTAATGTAACAGTTTATAATTGCTTACTTCTTAGTTTTTGCTAGAAATTAAGATTCCTAAGAGTTAAGAATTCTAATAAATACAATTAAGAACTACCAGAAATAATAAGGGAAATACCTCTGTATCCAAGGAAAGTAGGCTCTGTGTTTTTAGTAAGAAGATATGAGGAATGGAGATGAACTTCTGGTTGAGGGGAAAAGAAAGTAATTTTGTCCTAAAGTGAGGCTGGTTGGTTAAAGGAGGGAAAAATCTGGATATAAAAAAGAAAGTTGTAGGTTTGTGGAAAGTAATCTTGGGAATGGAATTCTATGCACAAACTAAATGAATTTAAAAGGTGTTTTTTCAGAAACGAGCCTTAATAATGTACTTATATAAAATCGTACCTTAATTTTCTTTTTCTGCTGAAAGGACAAGTTTTCTCAAATTGATGGTATCTTCTTAAAACTAAATGGTAGGCAAAGGTTTGTCTTTACCTTTTAAGTGATATTTTTATCAAAATAATTTTCTGTTTGCTGTCTTTATCAGGTCTTTGACTGCTTAAACCTAGTCTTATAGATATTAAAAGAGCTATGTTTTGCTCAGAATTATGTAACCTTCTATATTTGCCTATGAAATCTTTGGCTGTCACTGTGGTTAAATGTATAAGCAACCTATGATCCTATTTGACCAAGTGTTTTAAAATCTTCTGATATGTTTTACAAACTTCCCCACAATTTCAATTCTAAGTCTTTTTGACTTTGAAGTAAATTTGATATACAAGATAATCTGGAGGGTCCCTGTAACCTCTTGAAAGATTTGTTCTCTTTCCTGATAAAAGAGCAATATTAAACTAATTAGGCTAATTCGGTATGTAAATTACATGGAAGCACTGTCAAGTAAGTGATGATATAAACCTTCTTAGATTATATTGCATAAGTGAATATGAATGTAAATGTTCTAGAATTCTAATACACCCTGGTATAACATTTTCAGTCATAATTCTAGCTATTATCTTACAATGTTACATCACAAAAAGAACCAAATTCCCTTGTCAATCACATTATAATGAACTCTTATCAGATCTTTAACAATGAGCATCTTCAAGTCTTTCTATAGACAGTTATTGTTTTTATCTGATGCTTTTGCAAACCTGTTTCACCTTCAAGGGCAGACTTTTGACAAACACAGGTTTCCGATAACTTTAAGATCATAAAACTTAACTGAATAAAAATTTCCAGAACTAGTGGAAAAAAATGGATTCAAGCAGAATAAGCATGTATTACACAGGATTGAATGAACTAATAAGTATGATTACGATTTTTGTGACTTTTTGAAATTTGAAACTGCTGGTTCCTTGATTTCTTTTGTTGTTTTTGTTTTTAGATTTAAGGAAACTTTCTGAGACTTTGACTTACAGTAACTTGGTGAAGTATATCTTTATAAACAAAGATAAAAACCTTTACGTTTTCTCCTTACTGGATCCCTCCAGAATTCAGCAACTCTTGAGTATTCTTTTCATAGCAATACAGTTAGTTATTGGCATAGGTTCAATGAGAGTCTATTCTTCTTGTAACAGGACACATTGAAAACATAGACTATGTAACCAAGGCTTTCTCTTATGTGGTATTTCAGGTAAATCTGATAGACCATCTTAAGCTTGGTTTTGTGGC